TTCCATCAAGTACCACTGCTTCAGGGTCAGCCCAGGCTTGGCTTTTTGGCTGCTTCTCCTGTGCAGCCAGATAGAAATAATCTTAAGCCATTTATAAACATGCCGTTTACACTTTATAAATGAAGGGTCTTGGGAAGAAGTGACTGAATTATTCTCCAGGGCATCTCATTGGCTAGATCCTATTGGAGTTCTTTGGGTTCCTGGGAAGTGGCTCCTTAGCACTTTGCACCTTGAATAAGACTCAGAATTTGTTTTTCCAATCCTTGTATGAAGTATTATCTAGTAGCAAGCTTTCTTCCATCTTTACAGTTTTAATTCTCCTTTTTAAAAATAATTTCTATGCTTCCCTGTATTGCAGTCTTTACCTTATTCCTGACTCAGAAGATTTTTTTTAATTACAACAAATAACTGGGAGTGGTGTTTCACACTTTTAACCCCAGTGCCCTGGAAGCCGATGCAGGTGGATCTTTGTGAGCTCAAGGCCAGCTTGGTCTACAGAGAGAGTTCCAGGACAGCCAGGGCTACATATAGAGACCTGGTCTCAAAAAAAAAAAATACAATAAATAATAAATATTTCTGTGTGATACACTGAGTCCATTTCCAAGTCATTATATTTTATTTGCTTCACTAAATCTTCTCAGAGATGATGCTGTGCATGCTGGATGTCAATTAGTTAGTAAATGGGATATATCAAGGGGACCCCAAAAGTAAACAGGAAAACAACAGCTCTTTACTTACAAAACAACTCATAAAAGAAAACATTTCTTTACTTATAAATGCAGTGCACCTATTTTTTTCTCCGATCTTTATCTTTTTTTACATGCTTTTGGTGCTGGGAATTTAACCCTGGGACTTGGCTTGTGAGCCACACCCTTGACCCCCTAACCCTTCCATTTTATCTTCTAGAGTAAAAGGAGGCCCATGGTAGGTGCTCAGTGAATGAATATGTATGTTGAATAAATAAATGTTTGTTGAAAGAAACCAGGAAAAGAACACCTGCCTATTTTGGTACTGAAAGCAGCTCAGGAGGAACATAGATATGGAAACACTGCCCTCCTTTGCCTCAGAAGTAGGGCAAAACCAAGGCTGCTCTTGGCACATGACCTTTGTCTTAGCCTGCGGCTGGAGTCACTTGTGCAAAGGCAGTGCTTTGCTCTCTGCCAGGCGGAAGGTCACCCCAAGAGTGAGCTGCTCCGTGGCACAGCACCATCTCTCACCCAGAGGCTGCTCTGCTATTTCAACGAGGCTGACAGGTGGGAATCTGGGCACCAGTTGTTCTTTTCCACTGGGAGCTTTGGGAAGGTAGCTCCGAAGGCAGCCGTGCTGGCCTACGTGCTTCTCCTGCTGCAAAGGCTCTGCACTGCAGTCAGGAGAACACGGGCCAAATCTGTCCTCTGGCCAAAGTCAGGTCTCAGAGACTGCACCAAAGCACGTAACACGAAGAAGACACGGGACTACTGTAGTTCTGTTGTTCTACTCATCATGGCTTGGCTGGCTGAGGTCCTAAATCCTGATAATCACCATTTGAGTTTGTTACATATAGTTTAAAATAAAAGGGACAAATGAATTAATTTAGTTTCAAGAAAATTTGAGAAGCTCCCTTAAAGCCGAGATATCCTAGTCTGGCAGAAAAGGAATCTTGTGGTGGTACAAATTTTCTTAATTCCCCATGTTCCTCTTTGAAAGTCCCTGCTCACACTGAAGATCCTGGTCTGTGTACACCAGGTCTTGACTCAGTGGTTCTTAGTTTTTGAGCTTTATTTTCATAAACTCTTCTTCAGCACAGCAGTGCTGGCTCATTTGCACAGTTAAAGCAAAACAAAATGCAACAGGAATCTCAGCCTGTATTGTGGTACAGGCCTGCAATTTCAGGATACCTTGAGATCTCAAGAGGTCTACACAGTGAGAGTCTGTATCAAAACAAACAAACAAACAAAAAAAAAACAAATTGTAGAGCTGGAGAGATGATTCAGTTATTAAGAACACTTGTTCTTGCAGAGGACCTGGATTCCAATCCCAGCACCCACATCATGGCTCTCCCTAATAAATAACTTCAGTTCTAAAGCATTTGATGATGTCTTCTGATCTTCTCATGCATGGGGCATGCACTTAATGTACGTATGTGCATGTAGGCAAAATATTCATATACATAAAATAAACTAAAAATAAATAAATCTAAAAGACTTCTACCAATAATAATAATAATAATAATAATAATAATAATAATAATAATAAACCAAATATCAGTGTTCCACTGTAAAGATCTTACCCTTGCATTTTGAAGGTTTGATGAATTCTGTTTATTATCATTGCTTGTAACATTAGTTCAGTGTTAATAGAAAAACTAAACAAAAAATGCCATGACTATTATGAATGCACTGAAAGCAAAAATCTTCCTACTAGAGGTAAAGCCACATTTCCTTTGTTATTTTTCTATCATTTTTAATTTTTCTATTTTTTTATTTTATGTGTCTGGGTGTTTTGCCTGATTGTGTGTCTGTGCATCACTTGTGTGCCTGGTGCCCAAGGAGGGCAGAAGAGAGCATCAGATTCACTGAGACTGGAGTTACAGAAGGTTGTGAACCCCCCCACCCCATGGGTGCCCAAAGTGGAACCTGGGTCCTTGGGAAGAGTAGTCAGTGTTTCTAACTGCTGAGCCATCTCTCCAGTCCTCTTTTGTCCTTTTTAACTACTTTTGGGTTCAGTTCATCACTTCAAGAAAACAAACCAGTTCTCAGGGCTGAGGATATATGCTTCAGTCAGTAGAGTATCTGCTGCTCAAACGTGAGCACCCCAGTGAGTATAGACCCCCAGCACTCATATGAAAGTTCCTATCTGTCCCCAGCACAGGTGGTTCCCTGGTGCTCAGCACTGGCACATAGACACAGCCCACATCTCTAACCCAGAAGCTATCTACAATTGATAACCTCCTCAAATAAAGAATGCATTTTCTCCAAAGGAGTCTCACTGGGTATACAAACCACACTTAATTGCAGGCCCCAGCAGTAGATGGCCAGCACAAAATGAACTCAATGGCATTTTTTGAAGTTTGTTTTGTCTCACAATGCTTTGAGCTTTTTTTTCCATTAGATTTCCAGGTTTGTGTTTTTAATGAGATCTCTGTGTATGCAAATGTGTATGTCTGCGTTCTTGTGCATTTTCTTTGGCTCTTTCCCCTCATTTGTTTGTTTTGTTCTATTCTGCTTTGTTTGTTTTTATTTCATCATTATTTTTTAGGTGCTTGTTTGTTTTCTAATGAGAACAAGAAAGGGTGTGGTTTGGGGTGGGTGAGAAGGTGGCCAAGATCTGGGAGGAGTTGGGGGAGGGGAGATTGCAATCAGAATATGTTGTATGAAAAAAATCTATTTTCAGTAAGAAAAAAACATTTTTCTGCAGCCTTGGCCCCTTGAAATATTTGAGCATAGGTTTGATCCATTTTAAAGAGAGGTCCCCATGAACATGCACAAAATGGAAAGCGGTGCAAAGCTATCCGCAGGCTCTTCCCATCTTTAGGATTATCCTTGGCATATTGAAATGGTGGTAGCCAAATCCATTGCTATTCAATGCTGGCATTTTAGAGAAGGAGGGAACCACGTATACGCTGTTGCTCTTGATACTTCTATCCTATAGGTGAGGAAACGGACTGGAAGAATTTAAGTGAGCTGTGCAAGATGCCACAGCTGATTAATGGTTGGGCCATGACTTACTCCAGGTGGTTCCTCTCATTGGTCCATGTCCTTCCTGCAATTTATTAAACTTCCTAGAGACACAGGCTCTTAGCCTTTGCCCTGCTCTGAGATGGTCCTGTTGCCACACCCCTTTCCACTCAGAATGCCCCACCTCACACTTGCAAGTTGTCTAATTGCAGTTAAGTGGGTCTGAGCCCACACTCTATTGCATCAAATGAATTGACTCATAGCACCTTGAACTTCTTATCTTGATCACATCAACACTTTACACTGCTTATTCAGACTGTTCATGAAGAACATGCTTGCACTCTGAACAAACAATCAAACTTTGATCTAAAATATCTTTGAAAGTTTTTCTGAAGCTTTAATTACTCCATTCCTTTGGTTTGGTATGTACAGTCAGGTTCTCTCAATTTCCTCAAATGTTTGAAAATATTTTTGATATTCTGTGTCTTCTTGTATAATGAAAAGCATCAGTGAGGTAATTTTAGTAGATTGCTGAACTCCAGTCCCTTACCAGGAGGTATGGCTAAAAGAACAAAGCAAATTTTAGGAAAATCAGTCCAACATAGTCTCACTTTAATGGTAAGTCTCTGCTCCAATGACCATTTTTCAAATTACGCTGTGGGCTTAAGCTACAAAGGTTGTGCAGAAATGTGTGACTCCATTGGGAAATACACATGTATTGCCTTAGCCACGCTGGAGACCAGTGATCATAATGTGGGTTTCAGATGCAGTTGGCCACTGATGCTGGGTGGCAAGGACTTAAAACAAAAACAGGATGAGCCCAGAGTACAGCAATGGAAAATTAGGTGGGTGGGTATAGAATGGAAAATGTACTCCCTCGGGCCATGGCCTGTGTTCATTAGCACTGACCTTCCTCCTCCCTAGCCCTGTAAGCTGATGTTGATACCAAAGCTTTGAGAGAATCTGAATAAACCCTCCTGCCCTGCCAGCCAAGGACAAAGATGAGACCACCCAATTTAGTTATGCTGTGGTCAGAACCATGTATTTTTAATCTATATCATGGGCTCAAACTATTCTTGCTCTTAGGCACATAGACTCTATCAATTAAAGTCAACATATGCTTCCACTCAACCGTCATGTCCATTTCCAAATGGTCATAAATATGTAGCAGAAACACTAAGGTCAGGGGGTATGAAATGGATGACAGCATTAACTAATGAGGCTCCAGAAACCAATACTCTTCACCCCAAATGACATGGAAATGTTTGACTTCATATCTCTTGTGTTGCATCCATATTTCTGGGGAAATATTTCTGGGGAAAATAATTTCTGCTCTCATTCCAGCTGTGCGGCAGATACTGTGGCAATTGGTTACAAGTGAAAGGAGCAACACAGAACTCCAGCATACAAAGGACAATGACAACCAGAAAGCGACAGCCCCATCCTGCCCTGGCCTCGAAAGGAACTGGATCCTAGGTGGTGACAGCATTTCCAATCTGTTGTCCTCTGTCTCCCTCTGCTGTTCTTCTGGAGAAGTTTCCCCTTACAACAATGAGAAGTCATGTACTAGCTGCATCCATTTCTATGCTCTCCCTGCTGGCCATAATGGGAGATACAGACACCAAAACAGACAGCTCCTTCCTGATGGACTCTCAACGCTGCATGAGACACCATTATGTCGATTCTATCAGTCACCCATTGTACAAGTGTAGCTCAAAGGTAAGGTCAAGGTCACTCCAAAGTCATTAAGAGGATATCCCTCCCCTCATTTTCAGAAGAGAAGCTGTATTTTCTTGTCAGGTGATGGAGCCAGAGCCCAAACTGTAGCTCTGTGACGGGTTTTCCCAGTATGCTTTGCATTTCTATGTCTGTCTATGGAACATGTGCATGCTTATCCTGTTGTTGGGGTTTCTTGTGTCCCTGACTGGGAAATTTATGAGCAAAAATATTCATTTTCAATAAAGAAAAACAGGGGCTGGGAATGGGGCTCAGTGGGTAAAGTGAGGCCCTCAGTTAGGATCCCCAGCACCCATGTAGAAGAGCCTGGCATGGGGGTACACATCTCTAATCCCAAGGCTGAGGAAGCAAAGACAGGAGAACCAATGGGGCAGGCTGGCTAGTCCAGCAAATGAGCTCCAGGTTCAATGAGAGATTGTGTCTTTAAAAGTAAGGGAGCAACTGAAGACCAAACCATCCATCAATCTCTGACCACCATAATCACCTCCGTACACATACACACATGTGCAGAAACATGCACACACTCATCACACATCTCACACACATGTGCAAAAAGAAGCAAGAAAAATGGAGCCTCCAAGTTACCATAATTCCTTCTACCTGCATCAACAACAAAAAGAAGGGGAAGAAGTTGAATATAATTTAACAGCGGAACACATTCTTGGAGGCTCTTCAGACAGTTTTCTGAACTACCCAAGAACCAGTTGTGTGGTCTAAACCTTCCTCCATGTGCCACATTTATGTTAAAATGACTCCAGAACTGAGGACGACAATTCGATTGTTTATCATTTTTCGTTTGCTTAGCAGTTTTTTCTTATTGCGGTGGGTGGAGTGCTTCTTACACAGGTCATCTATGTCTCAGTGCTGAGAAGAGGTGTGCAAAGTCATACCACACTGAAAGACCACCAAGAGTGGCTGCCACATAGACCACCCAGAAGGGAGGCACAGTGTAGGATGGAATGGATTCCAAATGAAAGTTCTCATGACTATCATTGCTCCAGTCACATGCACTAAATGTGTCCACACTTAGTAAATAAGACTTTGTTTAGCTCAACCTCAAAGGAATTTCACTTTAGTCCTGAGACTAAAACAACAACAACAAAACCCATTTAAACATTCTCATATGTTAAGTATTTTTAAAATTACCCGTATAATTAAGAATTTTCAAAATAATATAAACCACTAGAATTAAGGTCATAGAAATCAATCTCTCCACCCTCCATTTCAAAGCATGTCTGCTTTTACATTTTCCATAACTTATGTAGTTGTAGCCCAAGGAAGATTCCTTATTTCAGTTTGAGGGGATCAAAATTTGAGTTAAATCAATTTCACCATTATATTAATAAGACCTCGGACTGTAGCAAAAGAAATAGAGATTTTTTTTTCCACTTGAGAAAATATCCTGGATCTTGTTTATACTTGAGGAACAAAACTGAAGAGAAACAATTAGGTGGCGAGCATACAGTTTGCTAAGATTTCTTCTTGAAAACTGAGAGAGAGTGGGAGCTGATGGAGCAGGTTGGGGTTGAGGGGACACACTTACTTAGAGGTCATTTCAGCACCATAGAGGCACAAAAAACAGCAACGATAACTTAAAAAAACTGTGAGGAAAAGAGATGAGAAACATTTTTATAGCCACAATTGCTCAGAAATTGCTTCAGAAGAGACAGCACTGATATTTCGTGTTTGTTAGTTCATGGATGATTTCTTCCTTTGTTGAGCTGTCCTTTATAATCATGTTTCTTTAAAAAAGAGAGAGAGAAAAATAATTCAAATTTAAGAAAGTGTCATTGTGGTGAAAGGAAGGATTATAGAAAATAATAGCATCTATAAAAAATTGAAAGTGGGCTGGGGTGGAATTCAACGGTAGAGCACTTGCCTAGCATGTGTGGGGCCCTTGGTTCCATCTCCAAAACCAAAAGAAAAATTGAAGATAATCTAGAAAGACTAGACAAAATAATGGAAGACTGTCTTAGCATGGTAACCTAAGAGGGCAAGAGTCAAGGAAGAAATGCCGTTAACTCAAACTCACAGGATTTGAGCAGGACTCTGAGAAGCAGCTTTTAGCTGAGTGTTCCCCTTGGCTTCTTCCAGAATGCCACAGTGAACAGCAGTGTAAAACTGTGGTAATAGAAGAAATGTTTGTCATTTCATGGGAACAATCTGTTTTCAAACATCCCAAATGACCCCAAATACAGCAATGGTTTTATGTAAATGCTGCTTGTAATTATTAACCTTCCTTCCTTGGCCACAAAAATACGCCTGGCAGAGTTTCAGCTACCAGACCATTTCTGGATTAAATTTTCTTTATGCATTGAGGAAGAAAATGATTTTCATTTGGAAATATTCTATAGTTCTTAACTTTTACAAACTCAGACTGATATTCCCTCTAATGAATCTCATCTGATGAAGCTTTTTCCTTCAGAGACTTGGCATAAAAACATTTAGCCTATGTCTGGAAAGAAGGGACTGGGGCAGATTTTATATCTCTACAAATATTTTTAAGGCCACTATTTTCTGGACATATGACCACTCTTTGCCTACCAGATAATGCTCTTGACTTAGATAGATACAGTGTGTCTGGCCTACAGAATCTACATGTGGCCCAAGGAAGGGAAGGCACTGGCTTGAACACCTAACCTGTGTCAGTCACTTCTCTCTCTCTCTCTCTCTCTCTCTCTCTCTCTCTCTCTCTATATATATATATATATATATATATATATATATATATATATATATATATATATTAATGATTCATATCTTGCAATTTTTCCTAGAAAAATAAGAAATAGTAGATAAAGCTTTCTTTTCTGGACACCTTTAGTGGGATGCTTTGTTCACTATGGCCCTCAACTTGTATTTGGCCAGTTTTAGGTTCCTGTCACTCTTCTAGCAATTCAGGGAAGAACTAAGATAGACTCAGACAGAAAAGACTGACCTGCCAAGAAAGGCAGAGTGGTCACTGTTTAGATTATACCTGGTGACTTTGTTAGTGATGGGTCCAAAAGGCCCTGGGAGTGTCAGGTTCATTTTCCCTCTTCCCAAGAAATCACATTTCCCTAAAATTCTTCATAAAGGCCCGTAAAGCAAACAAGCTGAAGGTCTGCAGCTGGAGGCAATGGGCTGTCTGGAAAATGTTGAAGGACACTAAGGCACCCCAGGTCTCAAGGCAGCAGAGATCTGGTTTCCAGTTCTCTATTCACAGCTTTCCAAATGGGTGATTTCAGGAAAGCCAAATTATTGTTTTGTGCCTCCGTTTCCTCCTCTGCAAAAGGAGTTGTTTGGCCAAGGGCATGGACATGTATGGCCACATTTGTAAATCAGCTAGCATAGTGCTTGCCATATAACAGACATTTAATAAATGCTGTTATGATCCTGATGATGAAGTTGTAAGCTAGACAGGTGTGTCAAGCCACTTTTCTATTTCAGTCACTACTAAGACTTCAGTAACTGCTGGGATCCCTGCAGCCTTAAAGGATTAGGAAAGTGAACCTCCCTATGGCTCTGCTGGACATGGGAGGGGTGGGGAAGAGCAGAAGAGCAAAGTAAACCTAAGCCTCTGTGTTGGGTGCTAAGAGCGAGGCTAAAACAGGAGCAGACTCAGGTGAGTGGAGGAGGTGCAGGGATGAGTTCTGACTCCTGACCAGGCTTGGGTTTTCAGGAACCTGGCTTGGCAACACGAACCGGCTCCATGGATATTCGAAGTCCAAGTTGTTGAGAAGTAGGAGATGGTGGTCCAAGGTAAGGGAGTAGAATCGGCTTCTAAGGGTGGGGTGAAGGGCAGCTACTATGGGCAAGATGAGACAGTAGGTTATGAGGAAAGAAGGAGACAAAGGCTGTAAAAATTCCCAGAGAGAAGGTTTCCTGTGTCAAGGACCAAGCTGCAGGATTGGGAAAGAACTGTTAGAATCCCCAAGTCATCTTCTGTTGCTGCCCAAGAAGCTCATAGGAAAAAATGTGGGAGTTAAGATATAGAGTTTATAACACAATTGATCACTTGAGAGATGTGGCTTGATTTTTAAAATAAGAACAAATTTTTTATTGATGCCTAGTATGTGTAGACATCCTGAAAGTTGCTAGAGACAAAAATAAAATGGGAAGAAGACAAAGAAATTTTTACCCCTCACCTCATAATGCTTCAACAGGATATAGGAAAAGGAAATGTTCTGCATGCAAATGCCTCTTCATATCTGTTTGATTTATGGCTTGTGTGACAGTAACAGACAGCAAATCTCACCACCCCTATGCTACTTTGTTCCCCTGGGTGTCATTTTGTTGTTGACCTCAGCCTGGCACAGACCCTTTGAATATTGACCTGGGTTCCTAGAAATGAGCTGAACAGTCACGTCTTGATCTTGCTGGTGAGAGAAGGTGTGGATGGGTCTTGTTCCTGGTATATATACTGAGGTCATCTGGAAGAAAGACATACCCATCTCAAAGTCATAAAACATTATTTAGAAGGTTAAAATAGTAGAAAGGAATGTTTCCAGGCATGTTAAGTTCTCATTATAAAGGTGGATTTGCTCTCTCCTCTCTCTCTCTCTCTCTCTCTCTCTCTCTCTCTCTCTCTCTCTCTCTCTCTCTCTCTCTCTCTGGTGTGTGTGTACTGAGAACATCAAAATCTTAATTGTCTCAGCATTTGGAGGAGGAGGCACACAGACAAGATATAGGAAGGATTTCATTAGACAGAACCAAGTGAAAATGACTTTCCTGGGAGAGTAAAAACATGCACAGAGGCAGGAGGCAGAAGAACTGAGGGCAGTTCCATGGACTCTTAAATAGTTAAGCATGACTTTGACTGGAGCAAGAGTGGATGATGAGAACACTTAAAAGACTGAAAGTATTTGACATCTGGGACAGCCATGGTAGGTGCTGACTAACTAATGATGTTAGTAATCTTTAACTATCAGGAGTTATCTTTGCCTGATTTTGGAAAGATGTGCCAGCCATTATCCCTTTATCCTCGGATGTTTAATTTTGCCCCATAGGATGATGTCAGAGATCATCTCTAGTGAGTATTTAATATTAAATGCTAATTAGCAAAATATTATAAGGTTATATGTCACCAGGAATCAAGCTGCCTTGCCCCACCTCACTCATGCCTTCCACCCCTAGGATTCCAGGATCTTTGAATGATGTGAGCTGCCCTTTATCTTTGTGGAGCTAACTCCTGTCTTAACATACATTCAAAATATCTTTTCTTTGGGCTTAGCTCAAACTTTTTGGGAAAACAGAGCAAGTGAGTCCACCTGCCCACTGTTATAATTCAAACTAACCATGGCCAGAAGAGTTCTTGCTCATCACTTTATCTCCTTGAACATGCAATTGATGGCTTTGACCTGGGCATGCCAAGGGATGTGTTCAGCATCTTTCCTTCTTGAACTATGATCTTAAACTGACATGTTTGGGAATCTCTTCCTTATGCTCAGTGTGTTTAGGAATATGCCCACACCTAAAGTGCTTTCCAGTGTGAATACACATAGGCTCCCATAGGGAACCTCCAGGCTTCCTTTTTAGGGGAAAGGTATTACTTTGGAAATATCCCCCTGAGTTCCTTACCTCTAGTCTTAAAAAAATAATAATCAAAGGAGCTTTTTGCCCATCTCCTTAAGCTGTATGCAAAATGTTTGGTATGTATGTTTTCTGAGGATAATTTTAATACTTTTTAGCAGATTCTTTCATTTTTAGATTAATCTATTTTTATTTTATGTGTATGTGTGTGCCTGTTTATCTATATGTGTACCACATAGATAGATGCAGGTGTCTAAGAAGACCAGGTGTTGGACCTCCCTGGAACTGGAGTTACAAGCTGTTGTGAACCATGTGATGTAGGTTCTGGGAACAAATCCAGGTCCTCTTTAAGACCAGCAAGTGGTCTTAACCACAGAATCATCTCTCCAGCCCCTTAATTAGAGGCGTAATAGAGTATTGCTATAAAGAACACGAAAGCTCTGACACAGAAGCCCAAACCTTTGGAAATGGAGAGAGTCAGGGTGAATTTGCTCTAAATAACTCTGAAGATGCTGACGTAAATTGTGTAAATGACTGGTACCTCTTTAAGGTATAATAAGCCCAGGTGTATACTCTCAGGCCTGCGAATGTACCCGTCTCTATTTCACTTTCTTCTAAGTTGCACCTAGAATATTTCTTCCAAAGCAACACTTAGTTTATTCCTTTTTCTTCTACAGAGCCCATATTTCTTCTCTTTAGCTATTTCCCACTGGACCCCTATCCCATCAATCTCTGCTTGCTCCTAGATTTCAATCTGAGGTGACTTTCAGCTTGTTGTTGGTAAAATTGCAATACATTTGGGTAGACCTCCATCCATCAGGAGCAACTCATTTTGTACGCAGATGTTTATTTTGTTTTGGTTTTGAAGGCGAGGTGGTAACCCAAGCTAGTTTTGAACACACTATGTAGGTGAGGATGACCTTAAACTCTGGATCCTTCTGCCTCTACTAAGTGCTGAGATTATAGGGGTGTGTCACCATCACAGTTTATATAGTCCTAGAGAATGAACCCAGACATGTGGTTGCACTAGGCAAGCACTCTACCACCTGAAGTTTATCACTAGGTCTGTTTCTGGATCTTTTTATTCATACCATAGTGGTACATCTTGTTGACTGATTCTAAGCCCTCACTGTACTTCATAGTCACCTAAAGAATCTTAAAAATCATGAAAGCCTGGGGGCCCTGTTAAAGGAGTTTGATTCAAAATAGTTTCAGATGAGGTAGTGTTGAATGGCTTCCTACCAATCTCCAGGTACTGTGGATTTAACCTAGAGCCTTGTCCATGCTAAACAAGTCCTCTACTGCTGAGCCACAATGCCTTAAACACATATTTTAGGTTTACCAATAGATTCTGATGTGTAACCAGAGTTGCAGCCACTGGTCTGACCCAGCAGGAATCGGCAAGGAGTGTTGGGGTCTTTCAAAGGATTCTGTGGTAACCTGAGGTTTTGACAACTACACAGAGTAACCACCTCCCCTTATTTTTCCAGATGGTGCTCCTGGCCAGATGTGAGGGGCACTGCAGCCAGGCATCACGCTCTGAGCCATTGGTGTCCTTCAGCACTGTCCTCAAGCAACCTTTCCGTTCATCCTGTCACTGCTGTCGACCTCAGACCTCCAAGCTGAAGGCTTTGCGTCTGCGCTGCTCAGGGGGCATGCGACTCACCGCCACTTACCGGTACATCCTCTCCTGTCACTGCGAGGAATGCAGCTCCTGAGGCTTGCTGCTGAGTGGCTTTCTGGCTGGGACAAGCACAGGAGCAGTTCAACCAGCCAGAGAAGGACTGGCAAGAAAAGAGTTAAGGCAGAGAAAGATGGAGCGAGTCCCACAGGATTGTGCATATTCTAGTCCTAAAGACTCAAAGTGCTTTCAACAGAAAGTGACTCTGGGAACTCGTTTTCCATTCCCGTCTCCTTTCCCTGAAAGAATTTCTTTTGGTTACTTTTCAGATTCAGGCATTTCCCCTGTTGGCTCCGAATGTGGTTTGGGTTTCGGACAACTCTTTATTAGTGGGAAAATGTGGGGCCCTGTGCAAGAGTGGATCAGGCTGTCCCTATTTGGTGCATATTAGGGAAAAATTTGCCCAACTTTTCTTATTTGCCCAACTTTTCTTAGGAGATCCTCAGTTGTTTCACTTTGTTGTTTTGGTCTAAGATTTGCCTTGAAAGGTTACCGGTTTCAAGTTCCGGACACCAAGTCCATGGATATGTTTAGTGAGGTTTACTCACAGCTAGCTGATACTAAAATAACTAACACACGGGTTCTATGATGTGACTGTGGAACTCCTGACAGCTATAGTCAGTCATTCATTAAATGACCTTGAAGTTATAAATATTGCATAAGGAATTTATAAACTGAAGGCTTTTGCAGGTAATGAAGCAAAACTTTTATGAGGAAGTAGTAGGCTTTCAAAGACACACACACACACACACACACACACACACACACACACATACACACACATACACACACACAGATGGATACTCTGCTGACTCTGGAGAAGGCATAAATTACTAGTGGCATGGAAACTGTGCCATACTTATAACTGAGAATTAGTCAAGCAAGTAGAAATCTATTTGTGGGGGTGCAACAGCTTCAGCCACGTCTTGAGCATCATTCTCTAATATCCACCTATCTATGTAAGTCTTGTTGCCATAGCGGTGGCCTGGCTTATCCTCTGAAAATTTTGTTCCAATATATTTTTGGTCATTGAGGCTCAAATTTTTGAATTCTCCCCATTTGAAATAAAAATAGAGTACCTTCAAAATTTTGGCTGTATAAGTATTGTTATTTTTTTCTTCCTCCTCCTCTTATTCCTCTCTTCTTTAATATTCTTCTGTGATGTGTATATATGATCCATGTAGCTACTGTTTGGACATTTTCAAGGATATGAAGAAGTAAAAACAATCAAAAGGAAATTGATTTCCAGAATGTGTGATAGAAACTTAAGAAAAAAAATCAATATACTGTGGGGGTGGACTTGGCTGTTGGTCTCAAATTTTAGTGCAAAATCTGATGTGTTATGGCTTCCTTGGGTACTATGGTGTGAAATAGAGATGACACATCCCTTTTAATCTCTTCATTTTTCTCAGAAAAGAATAAGTATCCATAAGTCAGGTCAACAGAGCCAGCAGGACAGAGTTCACAACAACCGTTTCTGTGCCATTGACGGTCTGCGCCCCAACCCTAATGATACTACTGTGATCTTCCTCAGCACTGCAGGAAGTGTGACACTGGCATAGCATTATGTACACTACAGGAACCTCAATGGTGAACTCCAACATGAAAATTCAGTTTCCAGGGCAACCTTGATATCACACTGTCCTGACTAACCAGAAATGACAGCACTCCCCACTGTTAACACAGCTAACCCGTGAATTATTTTTCCTGCAGAGATGATGGTTTTCTACTCTCTCTGGTACTACTTCCACACAATTTTACGAGAGCCAGCAGTGTTAAATTTGTATTCATGGCTTTGAAACAGAATTTTTAAAAAATCCTTGAACTTGATTTTAACCTTCGTGGTGATGGAGCCAGCCAGTTCACTGAATTGGAAGATGTCCTCATCCTGAAAGCAAATTTAAATTGGCAATTTGGACCATTACATGAAGAGAAAAACTGTCACATTAAGGACTAAATTTAACATTGATATGTATGTGGCTATACAACGCCCCCCTTTGTTTGAGATAGGGTCTTGATATGTTTCCCAGGCTGGCCTGGAATTCTGAACCTGTCTCAGCCTCCAGGGTTCACCACTACACCCAGCTAAATGGTTATAATTTCTACCAGATAATGAAAGGATTCCTTGTTGGCCAGACTTATGGATTTCTTTCATGTTGCTAATCAAAGTATAAAGAGGCCTGGAAAGAAGGCTCAGCGATTACTGCTCTTTCCGAGGACTAGCCTTTGGATCTCAGTACACACATCAGGTGGCTTACAAGTGTCTGTAACTCAAAGTCCGAGGGATTCAATTCCCCTTCTCGTTTCCATGGGTATCCATGCATACACAAACACACAGACAGACAAATAAAAATAAAATAAATAATTTTTAAGTAGAAATGATACTTCCAACCTTAAAATGTCTTTTCTTGGCTTTGAAATGTCATTTGCCTTGGAGAGTCTATAATACAAACCCTCAAAGTCCAGTCTTTATTTGCTTCTTAAGTATGTATGACAGTAGCAGGAAGGTTTTAAATAATTCATATCTTCTAAAACATCCAGATGCTATGGAAAAGGGCCAATTAATGTCCCATTTCATGATCTACCATTAAATCTTTCTGCATAATAACCAGAAACTTAGAGCATTTGAGGGCCTTTAATAAGAAGCCAGCATCCTCTTTAATTATATGGACAAAAAGATGTTGCCAAAGTCCAGGGACTTGGATTTGGACCTGGAGACCACACTTCATGCTCACCACAGCCACAGGTGCTTCCCTTCCCTTCAGAGGCAACAGCGCCCTGCTCCTGTTAGGATTTTGTATGCTGAGGAGCATGGAGAATCTGGAAGAGTATGGGGAGACTGGGTGAAGTTTAATGGCAACGTGCCAAAGCTTAGAAAGACAGGGAAAAAAAAGAATTATATTTTCCCCTAAAGACTTTAAAATAGCCCTGGGAACCCAGAGAATTAAGATGTTATTGGATATTGAGTTACTATGGAATTTGTACTAAATCTTTAAAAAAATTAAACATATTTAGCTCTGTTTTAGTGTTTACCCCTAAGGATGGAGAAAGAACCAAATGAAAACATTTGATGACTTGGAAACATTATTCCTGGAATGCCCAAGGAATGCTTGCTTCCCTTCTCCATTTACTATGCATGAGAAAAGGAAATTAAAATGTGTTACAATTTTTGCAGCTTACATCTTTGAAATCTATATGTTAAGTAATAATAGTGGAGGAAAGGATTCCTGTAAATTGATCCAATTCTCACCATTTATGAGCACTTAATAATAAGCTGCTGCTACAATGGAAAAGAAATGGCCTTATGAACTTACATGATTTTCCTCACATCCTGGCTTCCCAGACCTATTTCTTATGTCTTATATGTAGAGTAAACTCTTTAACATTCTCCAGAAGTTTAGAATGAAGGACAAACCAACCTTTCTTTGTTCTGATGAATGATCATTTAAGTTCTCTTAAACTCAAGTGCTTACTAATCCACCCAGTACATTATTTATCGTTAGATAGAGCAGGCTGTGTGTGCATTTGGGCCAGGGGACTGTTAGAGTAAGTATATTTCTTCACTATGATCTAGGAGGGATTAAAATGTGAATTTGCTTTTGGTTACTTCCTCAGGTTACTTCCCCATTGAGACATGACCTTTGAGCATGTGAACTTCCTACTACAAAAGGCCAAGTGTGTTGGCTCCAGAAGACATGAAGATGCTGAAGAATTAGGTCAGAGAAGGAAGCATATCCTGCCACCGGTGTCCCCTTCCTGGTTCCAGAGTAAAATGCATCCTGGTGGACAGACACACATGCTCCTTTTAGGATTAGAACAGTGGAGCGCCTTGGGCTTTGGAAGAATTTTGCATGCAACCGTATGGAAACACCTGAAGAAGAGCTTTTTGTTTAATAATGCCTGTGTCCATACTACAAGCAGATACCCAGCCATACTTAGTGAAAGAGGGCATTTCATAAAAAGATAACATCACATGACAAAATGTCTATGTTAGAGTCCCCTGTCTTTCTCTAAGTGACATTACATGAATAAAATGTTTAGTCTACTCTATTGTAAGTATACAAGAGCTCAGGTATTTTCTTTTATCCCATGGCAAATATGATTGCCATGGAATATTCTTTTATACTGTGTGAATATAGTCACTGTGGTTGGTTTAATAAAGAAGCTGACTGGCCAATAACTGAACAGAATAAGGTTAGGGAAGAGAGCCAGACTAGGAGAATACTGGGAGGAAGAAGGGCAGAGCTGGAGCTGCCAGCCAGATGCAGAATGAGCAGGAGATGAACATGCCATGTTAATAAAGGTACTGCCACATGGCAGAGTGTAAATAAGGAATATGGGTAAACTTAAAATGTAAGAGCTAGTTAGTAACAGGCCTGAGCTATTGGTCGAGCACTTATCATTAATATAAGCCTCAGTGTGTTTACTTGAGAGCAACTGCCTACATATGATTTGAAATTTCTTTCTAAGATCATTCTGTATCCTCAAATATCAATTTCATCTTTCTAGGTGGGAAACAGAACATTTGAAATTGAATAACTATAGTAAACATGGAAATGCACTAGCTAGGTTAACCTTCAAAGAAAGGTTTGTCACCTCATTTGTCAACTTCTCAGGGGCTTCCTCATCTTCAGAGACACTTTACCTAAGGGTATGCTCTTGGAAAGGAATAAGTTTACAACCAATACCTAACAAAGGCCTGGATCTAGTCTCATTTGGTGACTCATAATATTCAAATCAGTATTTTGAGCTGAGTGTTGTGCCCCACACATAATCCCAGGACTTGGAAGATTGAGGTGGGAGGATTTTGAGTTGGAGGCTAATATGAACCACATAACAAGTTCAAAGCTAGCCAGGGCTACGTAGCAAGACCTTGTCTAAAAAACACAGTCTTCTGGTATCCTTTAAATGCAAGATTTAAAAGTGTGTGCCAATACCTATGTCAGCAAGAATTCTAAATGCTGGAGGTATTGAGGTAAGAAAGTCACAGTCTTTCTATTCTTTAAAAAGTTTAAAATTATATGTATGCATATGTGTCTGCGAATGTGGGTGCAATTGCCCATAGGGACCAGAAGAAGATATCAGATGCCCTGGAGCTGTAGTTACAGGGGATTGTGAGCCACAAGATATGACTGCTGGGAACTGAACTGAATCTCAGAAGTGTTCATTCTATTCAAAATGATCACCAGAAATAATATGCTCATCATTACCCCAAAGTGTAGATAAGGTGTCTGTGCATGCATATGTGTTCTCAAAATAAATTTAAAGTGAGAAGTTCTATCCTCATATGAGAGCTCACAAACCCTATTTGTGGTTTCAAATAACCAATTTTTTAGAGATGTATTGTCTTCAGTATTTTATGTACTTTAAGTATGTGTTCTCCCTTCCCCCTTAGTCCTGTTATATTCGATTTCCCCTCCTTTTTGTTGGGGGCATTTCCTTCTCTTTCCCTTATTAGAATCTACAACTACACTTCATGACTCTTTAGACAGCCATTGTTGGGAGAAACTATGAAAAAGCAGGACCCCAGTATAGACTCCAGTTTGAGCAAAAACAGAAAGCATATAGTCCACTGCTCATTTCTATAAGGTTTTAGATCCTCTGTCTTTTGACCTTCTAACATGTGCTGACATCACTATGCTGTCGATTCTTTTGCAAGAATCAAGATGGACAATTAAATGAACACTTAAATGAATGTTACTGTCTTGGGAACCAATATAGTATGAATTTCTCTGCTTCTTTGTCCATTCACCTCTCAGCTCAAAGTGGTCGTCATTGAATATGAAGAGTGTAAAGGCCCAGCTTGCCTCTGATCTGCTGTTAATCACATGGCCTAGAGCAAGTTCCTAGTCCTTGGTGTGTGTTGTCTTCCACATCTTTAAGACAGAGATGAAGAAAATATGAATAAGTTTTCTGACATTATTCTGAGGATTAAAGATGCCAATACATCATTGTAGGACCTAAAACCATACTTGACACCCAGTGAACACTCCTGAATAAACATTAGCAATGATTACTATTCATGTACTCACATTTTTAATAAGCTATTGTTTCTCAATTACAGCTTTGGTCAAGCTGAATGTTATTATTAGTGAATTTTTCCAGCAAAAATTTATTATATATTAAGTTTTTTATTGTATTATTTCTTAAACTTCTTATTCTCTTACTCTATTGAACTGAAAGGAAAAATTAGAGCTGATTGTTCTTTCATAGACTATTTTTATCTTGTGTACTCTATCTTCAAGTTACAGTCATACAATGACAGAAAATGTCCGAGATCATTTTATGTGCCCACCTGCATGCGGAACCACAACTCAAACAATGAAATATGCAAATTTCTCAATTCTTCTTCTGGGAAATGTTCTTATTATTAAATAAGTTCATGACCTTAATTTCTTCCCATTATCCAACTATTCTCCAAAGTTGCCCTCACCCCTTAATGAGTTCTCTTAAAGATGGGAGTTAGTGAGCCTATTCAGAAGTTTGTTTTGCAAATGATTTAATGGCAGAACTTCATAAAAGAAAAATTCATTTTATTCTGTTTTTTTTTTCAAAGTGCTGGGGATGGAATACACATCACATTCCTTGCACATCCTAGGAAGGTGTTCTATCCATGAACCACACTCCTAGAACCAATTTTAGGTTTAAGACTACAGAAAGTCAGAGAGGATGTGTTCCATTCCAAGGCAGGGAGGATTATAGTAAATGCCACACATTTATACATGTGACCTTTCTATTCATTTCTGGTCAGTTTTTTTTTCAAAATAGTATAGCTTTTGATTGGTATCACTTAAGCATGTTCTAAAAAACAGCCCAATTACAAATTGCCATGCATTAGTACCTCTTAGCCATGTATCTGTTTCCTTAATGCCCATTTCTCCCAAACATTAGTCATTTTTCCAAAGCTAGAAACTTTTACAGCAAGTCTTCCATTTATAGAAACTGTTGAGTATAAAATTAAAATAGAAAAAATACACTTTAATATTATATAAGTCACCGCTGCTTATTAGAAATATATAATGCGCTACATATATAATTTTCTTAGTTGTCTTATTTTTATAAATAAAAACAAGGTCTTAACACTTGTACTACCAGGGTTCTGTTCAGAAAGTTCTTTCTTGTGCCTATAAAGTTCAAGGGCATTCCCTTACTTTCTTTTCTGTCAGATTCAGGAGATCAGGTCTTGTGTGTTGAGGTCCTTGATTCATTTGGAGTTGAGGGATCTATCTCATACAATAATGGCAGGAATATCATGAGAATAAATAACTACTTTCTGATTGGATTTAAGGACTGCTACATGAGATGAAGTCATACCTGACATGATTAAAAGGGCTCAGGGGTCGTTGTGAAAGAGGAGGGATGGAATAAATGTAAGAGCAAGGGTGGTCGATAGCATCAAGGAAACAGTGTTTCCCAGAGACAACCAGGCAGTTGCACAAATGAACTTACAGTGATTATGACAGCATGCACAAGAAATGCACAAACCTAAGCCAGACAAACTCTCAGCCTAGGGGGGAGAAAGTGGGCATGAAATTTCATTACTAGCTGGGGAGCTATTGGCTTTTGATAGCTGCCTAGAGAGAGAGTCAATTTTCTTCAATGACATGATCCCTGATAGGTAGACTACATGCCAGGGAAGGCCTCACTTCTAAGACTAGTTGGGCTACATAAACTGGAATCAATGGGAACAAAAAAGAAGAGGAGGAGAAAGGAGACTTGAAGTTGGGTGGGGAGGGGAGAAAGGGTGGTTGTGAGAGGAGCTGGAGGAAGGTAAATATGATCAAAGTATATTGTATGAAATTCTTAAAAATATGATACATAAAGTGAAAACAAAGGAAGGTGTGATGATACAGTGTTGCAATCTCAGCACTGAGGTGGCTGAAGCTTAGGATACATAGTGAGCTCCTGGCCATCTTGGGCTATACAAAAAAGATCTGCCTCAAAAACTAAAACAAACAAACAAACAAAAACCAAGCGCAAAAACAAACAACAAAAAACAAGCAAGCAAAATTAATATTAATGTTAACACATAGTTCATCTCAAATATTAACAGTTCAATTTGTAATCAATATGAAACATAGTAATGAAACATTGTATATTTTTATACCAACTCTCTGAAGTCTGATATGTATTTTACAATCAGAGCATAGGAACTGTCACTAGCTACATTTGTGAGATTTCATGGATACACTGAAATCATTGGGGGAAAAGGAGCAGGTAAGGTAGACAAGATAAAGATCAAGAGCAAAAGGCACAGGCCAGCAAATTATGGATGAACCATAATTTGCCATAGCCCTTGCCAATAAAATAATTCTTTAGAATTTCAGAGATCATTGTTAATGCCTAGGAGTCTTCACACAGTCAGAAACCTACTGTACCTGGCACTACCACTAAAAAACTGTTATCCCAAGTGAATCACTTAGACTTCCTATTAAAATTACTTTAGACCAGATTTCAAAGATATCTTCTTGCGCGCGCACACACACACACACACACACACACACACACACACACACACACACACACACACGTGTGCACACACACAACACATGCCTCCATTAATATCTGTTCTCAAGTTAATAGTACTTTAAAAAAAGAGACTCTGTTCCTGTTTTATTTTCACCACTAAAATTATTATATTTTTTACTGTTTGAACTTCTCCAAATGTCTTTTTTATTCCAAGTGTTGTGCATGGGACCAGGCTGTAGCTCAATGGGAAAGCACAGACTCAGGATGTGTGAGGGCCTGCATTAACCGACCCCCACACCAGCATTGCAGAAAAGAACAAAACTAAATAAATAAGGTAAAGAGCTGCATGAAAGATGTGTTGTATGCGTGATTAAAAATGAGAGTAATCAAGTTCCTATCCTGAAACATCATTATGCCAGCCTGATATATTCCTTCTTCCTGAGGCAGGGGGACTGCAAGTGGCAGTTGCTAGGCAACACCAGCTGCTCTTCAGCTTTTCACCAGCTCTGTGAACATTGCTTGCATCCCCAGCACAATAACTGGGCACTGTCTTAATTAATTTATACCCCAAAAGAAGATTTTTAAAAATGATTGTAATCTAGTAATTTAATTAAAATAATACTTTAAAGCAGGGTCCAGTGGCACAGGCCTAAAATCCTAGCTGTTTGGGAGACTGAGACAGGACAATCAAGTACGAGACCTGCCTGGACAACTTAGTAACACTGTGTCTGAAAACAAAAAGCAAAAAGTGGCCTGGGATGTAACTTAGTGGTGAGCTACTTGCCTGCTATGCATGAGGCCTGAGGTTCAACCACCAAAACTACAAAAGTGTACCTATATGTATCAGTATTGCCTTAAACCAATGTCAGAACATCGTTAAGTTTATTATGTTAGTAGGGTAGAATTCCTGACAGTGAATGTATCACTCATTCTGAGAAAAGAGTATTTTTTAGTGCTGAGGATGGGAACTAGGGTCTTCGTCATCCTCAGCACCTTCAGTATTTTTTTTTTTAACGGAAAAAGTGTCGCATTTGTCTTTTTGCTCCTCCCACTTTAGTCTTCCTCCCCTTTTCCTTTTCAAAGGGCCCAAGCAAGGAAAGGGAGGAGCATGGGCTAGGGGCATCCCAGCAGTAGGTGGAGCAGTCATCCCTTTGTTTTTGTCCACTGAAGACCTGGAAACATGCCACGGTGTTTGAGGAAGAAAAAAAAGAGAGAGAGACAGGCTTTTAGGTTGAGTGCTCATCCATAATTGAGTTACTTAGCAGTAGGGCATCAAAGGAAAACTGCAAGTACCCTGATAGCAAAACCCCCCAGGTGCTGAAAATGAAGTCAGGATCCTGCAGGGTCCATGACAGGAAGCAGTGAGTAGGGAGGACATTTGGAAAGATAGAGGTGAGACCCTGGTCTCCCTGTCAGAGGAATCTGGCCATCCTGTTGTCTATGCCTGAGATTTGGAATCAATCTGGACACCCTGTGCTCATAAATAAGAGCCTTTAATCTCAAGCAGGAGACTCTGGTTTTAAGGTAAGAAGCCTACGACCTCACTCACAGCATTTTTACTCTGCATCAAGTATGGTACTACATACAGTAGAAATGATATTGAATTTAATCTTCTCAATAACTCTCTTGCTAACCACATATACAGACACAGAATACAGGGCTTAAGAGAAATGGCATAATTTGTCCAGAGGCTAAGGACTAGTAAGGGGCAGAAGGCAGCTTTGGGCATAGATCTTTCTCTGTATATTCATTTTTCTTTTCTGCTCCAATGACCTTCCGTTTCTGTTTCCCCTGATTTGACCCTCAAACAGAGTACATTTCAATAGATGTCTACACTGGGAGAAGGGTTTGGGTCAGGATCAATTTGTTTTAAAATCTCCTACCATTGAAGTCTTTCATAAGATGAGTCTTATTTCTAAATGGTCCTTGGGAGCACTCCAAATTCCAGAACTTCAGGGACCATACAGAACCACTCGGGCCCCTGTAAACTTCCCAAGGAAATTTTAAGTCAAAATTTCCTTGGCTTTGACTCCAAAGGATTTGGGTGAAACTTGGCCAGGCTTAGGAATTTCACAGAGACTGGCCTGGAGTGTTTCACGCCATTCTCTGCAAGGACATGGACTAGAAGTAAGAGGTAGATCACCTTCCCAGACCACACTGATGTCAGAACAGGAGGAGACCCTAGTGACATTCCACTAAATGACCTTGTACTCCAGATGAAAAGCTCTGAGAGGTTCCGGTCACAAACCTAGCACACAGCAAAGCAGTTCAAACTGGAGCCCGAAACTCTCAGACCCGGGGTAATGGCTTTTGGGTGCCTGCCCCACTATTAATGGTCAGTTTCTGGCTAGACCCACTGGCAGAGTGAATTTCCCAAGCTGAAAAATAATAGGGCACCTGCACAAGAAATCAGGCCAGCACAGCTATTGATATACAAAGTCCATTGTTTGACCTCTTTTAAAAAGCAAGCATTACAGGAAAGCATTACAGATAACATTCACTTTTGCCAGGAGTAGAACCATCTCAGGCACAGAGCATAGCACGGCAGCCTTCT